GGAGTCATAAGCCATACAGATAAATACTATCACACACCCAATCCTGCATTATCAGAAATAACAAGCTAGAAGTGGATACGTAGGCCAACAGGCAAGGTGATCAGGTATGAGTAGGCAAAAGGACTATACTCAAGAACATATGTAGGTTTGGGAGATAGTATTTCTATAAACATATTTGTATGTGCTGTACATATACAAAAGAGCAAACAAGGCACAAAGGTATGTGAATTTTTTAACCACGGGCAAATACCTGGAGGGAATGAGGGCTTGGAGGTTTGGGGCTGCAGTTTGAGGTACATCAAGGTCAAGAGGCATAACATGGTTAAAAAGACAGTGCTCCACATTCCGTCTCGGTGAATAGTGATGGGGGTCTTAAAATCTAGCCATCTAACATGCTACTGTTGGTCTCTCTCTGGAGCAAAGAAGAGTGAAGAAAATTGAAGACACGTGGAGGCAATCGGTCCAGAGGACCAATGAGTCACGCACACCTCAGTGCCACCCCCCCCAGACCAGAAGAACCAGAGGGTGCTCAGCTACCACTGCGGCTGCTCTGAAGGGATCACAATGGAGGATCCTGGATTGAGGAGAAGAAAAATGTGGAAAGAAACTCGAAATCAGGGAAAAAAACAAAAACAAAACAATCAGACTGGAGTGATTCCCTGGAGACTGGTGTGTGTTCCTGGAGACTCTGGCCGTTTGTCTCTCTTCTGTCCTGGAACTGAATTCACCCCGCTGGCTCAACTGACGGCCAAACAACGGACAGGCCTAGAAAGCGAACACCACCACCAGGGAAGTAATAGAGCCTTAGAATAAGGAACCACAGGCAACCCAAAGGGCAGCATTTGTCCTGCTATCAACCTTGGGAGGTGGGCACGGAGAAGAAAGGAGGAGGAATAAGAATGGCAAGAGTGCTGGGCCATGGAGGGCACCAGAAACCACGCCAGGAAGCCAAACATGTACAAACTGGTGAGTGGACGACCAATTTTCTCACGGAACTTCCACTCAAATCACGATGAAAAGCTTTCAAAAGAGAAAAGAGAAGTCAGGAAAGGGAGGAGATTGAGAGAAACAAAAGTGACATCGAGTCAGGTACCGATGGGGTCAAGTCACACGGAGGGCGGAACTCTTCACCAGCTCTAGGCAAGGGAGATACAAAACCCAGGAGGTTCCCGCTTACTTGGAACAGGTCTCACACACACACACACACACACACACACACACACACACACACACCACCTAATACAATAACAACGTCATGACATGTAATGAATGAATGCTTTGTACTAAGAATGAAAACAATGTACAAAGGCTGCGGAATAGTGTTGAGTCTCTTTCGGACAAAACTTATTATCCCTAAATCAAAAACTCCTCAAATCTCTTGCAAGCTATGACTACACTAATAATCATCATAATGATTATTCCTGGTCCTTTAGACAATTCATTATTTTGGAATGCTACCTCTACTTTAAAAAAAAAATCTCTTTCCAAATTAGCACGCACAAAGTACAAAGGCAACTTTAAAAAATGTGTTATACATTTTTTCTTGTTATTTGCTGATTGCCTACCTCTTGCAACACTAGAACATAGAATCCCAAGAGGCAAAGAGTAGGTGCTCAGACAATGCTTGTTGAGTGGATAAATAAAACCCCACATGCTGCCTCTGTCCTTGGCCTCCACTCTCCTCACGTTTCAGACGAGTAAAAGCAACATTTTGAAAACAAATTTACCTTGTAGTTAAAATAGAGCCAGCCTTTCGGACACCCTCCATGCTGTTTTGGTGTATCTTTCTCTTTCTCTATGACCCCAAACTTCTTTCGCTTACAAATACTTGGCATAGAAACGGAACATTCTTCACTATTCCAGAGCCCTGGAGAGAAAACACAGTTGAGAAAGCGAGGCAACAACAGTGACTCATTGTAGCCATCCTCTATTGATCCCTGGCTTTGTAATTCCTCGGTTGTTATTGGATGCTGTTGACTCATAGCGATCCTGGGTGCAACACACTGAGAACACTGCACGGCTGGCACCAGCCTCGCGATAGTTCTCACGCGTGAGCCCGCGGTGGCTCTGTCTCCTGGAGGCCCTTCCTGTGTTTTGCTCCCCTGCTACTTCACCAAGCACGACGTCCTCCAGGGACTGTTCTCTGCTGATACCATGTCTAAAAGTGCTGAAGACCAAGTCTTGCCATTCTTGCCTCCAAGGAGCACTCGGGCTGTACTTCTTCCCAGACAGATGTTTGTTCGTTAGGCAGTCCTGGGGACTGTCCGTCTTCTTTGCCAGCATCATTGTCAAGTGCGTTGATGTCTGCAGTTGGTCTAATGTTTTGAAGCTCTAGAAATGGAACTGCGGGGTCCTGGGTGGGGCAAATCGCTCAGCACTTTGTTGCTAACTGGAACGTTGGCAGATCGAACCACACAGCCATCTGCTCCATGGGAAGAAAGACCCGGTGGCTTCCTGCGCAGATCACAGCCTAGCGAGCTCTCTGGAAGAGTCCCACTCTGCCAGAGAGGGTCACTGGTGTTAAAATCAGCTTGATGGCAAATGATCGCAACAACGATGGAACGAGATTCAATCGCAGATCACAGAATTCCTTCGTGGAACATTTAAACTGGGCAACGTGCTCAATCAATAATTCTAATTCGAAGAACGTAGAAATTTTACACATTAAAAGAAGTCTAATTAAGTAAATACTGCCATGAAAAATCATTCAATTGATGAGCGTTTTAAGAATAGTTGACTCAGTTAGCAAAAGGAATAGTACTCTGTTTTAAAATATCCATCTTCCCGGTAAGGAGAAGATTCTGAAACAACAGATGATACTTTCCACTTCTTCCAAAAATGCAATTTAGAAACGTCTGTTTAAGGACTCCTTAGGAGTATTTCTCAACACTGACCCTTCAATAAAACACACTCACAGTAAAATCTATTCCGAAGTCCGCAGACTCCCAGAAAAAAGTACATTAAAATGTTTTTTAGAACAGCTTTATTTTCAGACTAACTACTATGAGATGCATTTCTCTTCTGTACTCAGGTTACACATCCCCCAAACGGGCAAGGACGCATGCAGACTAAAACAATGGGCTTGGGTGTCAGTTTCGGAAAGACGGCCGAAATGATGGCTGGATGTCATTTCCAGTGCCGCGACACACCAAGCACCCTTTCTGCAGGCTGTTGTGACACCTGCTGGCTAAAGTGAGCGGATTAACCACACGCCTTTCCCTTTCCCAGCCTTCTCTGCGGAGGCCTCCACCCCAGGGCACTGTGTCCCAGGCTTCTTAGACTTCAGGCATGTCCACCTTTGATCAGTTAGAAACTGAAGGGTGGACAATGCAGCCAAAACAATAGTGCCCCGACAAACAGAATGAAAAAGAAAGTCCTCCACATAAATGCACTTCTATATCCAACTTGGAGACACAGTGACTCTTTTAGGGCAAAGAGCATTGAACAGAGAGGGCTGCTAACCATGAGGTTGGTAGTTCAAACCCACCAGCCACCCCAAGGGAAAGATGAGTCTTTCTGCTTCCTTAACGACTTAAAGCCTCAGAGACCCACGAGGCAGTTTTGCTCTGTCCTACAGGGCTGCTCTGAGCCAGAATGGACTCGATGCAAATGAGGTTTTGTCCTTCTTTTTGCTTTATTTGGAACAAAATAAAAAATAATGTTGAGTTAAATACAAATTTTTATTAAATGCAAACATGGCAGTAAATCTCACTGATGTTAAGGTTCTGACCAATTATAATCTAGGCACTAGGAACAGATAAACAGAAAGGGGAGGGCATGGTGAAACTATGTAGAGTATAGGGTTTTTCAAGCATATTTTAAAAAAATAGTTTCAATGGGCTTATTTTTGGTGCTATTTGATGAAATACAAAGAATGGTCTCAGTGAAGCCTAGGACTGAGGAAACTGAACATAGTCAGCTGACAAGGAAAGAAACCAAGCTTTGCTTGCTGAGTTCATTCCAAGGAGTCGTTACGACTCCGGAAACAACCCGTTTTCTTAAAACTCCCAAAGAGAGAAATAAAATGACCTGTTACGGATGAAATGAAGCCACATCTCCGACTCTGATTAGTCACATATCTTTCTCTTTCTTGGTCCCAATTCTGGTATATTAACGGGGATCCATCTCTCCAGCTGTAGGGAAAGGAAACACTGTCCAGTCTCCCATTCTCAGGTTCAACTTCCAACACCATTCTGGGCTATGAAGTAGTAGTCGAATATTTTATCCAATTTTAAAACATACTCATTTTTAAAAAGATACTTGTGTCTTTGTGAAGAAAGTGAAAAATTATACGGTCAAGAGAATGTTTGAAGGCTATTACATCAATGGATCACTAAGATTTAGTCCAATCATTCTGCAAATAAAACCCGTCAAACAAAATTAAATGCAAATTAATTGGAGTTCATACCGAAATTCATCATTGGCTCCTTCTGCTCGCAGTCCAATCCACCAGTTTACACCGTGCTTTGAGAGCTAGGTAAAATCAGCAACGGAGAACCCTTAGCACTGGGGCTACTTGCTTCTCCCTTTCAGTATTAAGATTAATGGGGCTGCTGTTAATAGCTTTCTATTCTTCAGGATTTTACCCCATTAGCTAAGGGAGTATAAGAAAGCCCAGCATCCTGAGCAAACCTGGAATTTCATTATTCTAATAGCGCCCTTCTCATTAGGAAGGACAATCGGGATCCACATTGAACATAATTTTAGTTTCATTCAACCTGCAATATCTTTCTCACAACTTTCCATATGTATTTGAAAGTAAAATTTCTAACTCTCCAATAAGAATTTAAAAGGTAATATTGTGAAGGGAAAGTAAAAGAGAATGGATTCCTTTTTATTTACTAAAAAAACAGTGGTTTGCCTAAAGTCTAATGAAGCTATCATATCTATTTGAAAAATAACTCAAGGCAACAAGATATCAGTAGAATGAAGATTTTGAACTCTAGGCATTACTCTGAGTGCTAAAAGTTTTAACTAAATTATATGTACATCCTCACTAAAGTTAATATAATCTAGAACAAATGAATATTACTAATTTTCAGTGTTAGACAGCTGGTAGATTATTATTTATACATATTAATTTGACACTGATTAACTACATGGATATATGTGTAATACTGTATAAAACTGAAAAAATAAACACACACAATAGAATAGTTATAATGCTGGGCTTATGATGCACAGAATTGAAATTCTCTTTTAATTACAAAAAAGGAAGAGACAGTCAGGACTTCTCTAAGCCTCCTAACTCAGTACACTTTTGGTGAGAGCTGGGGGTGCGAGGAGGGTTGAGATTTAAATTAAAGTTTAATATGCCTAAAACATATTAATTTGTATGCATAATATATTTAACTTTGCCCTCTCATTTGTTTTGCAAAGACTTGCAGGGGGGTGGGAGGGCGATATGTGGACATAAATCTTTTTGACCTGAATTTCAGGTCATCACAGAACCCAGCAGCTCTCTAACATTCTAATTTGGAAACAGGTATTTGGTGCTCCTAACCAGTGTGGCTGTCTGCCATGTCAGCGATTTTAGAATAATGCATGATGGAGCCACTGCAAGTCTGGCTCCCTGAGGTGCTGTTTCATGGACGTGTTCTTACAAGCTGAATTTAGATTCCCATTGTCAGACTTTGGAATCGGTCTATTGAGACGGACCGTGAGCTCAGTGGGGGAATCACAACCATTTCATTCAATCTAAAGAGGTCTCATGGGCAACAACAGTGGGAAGCATGGCCCGATTGTTCGCTGCCCCAATTAAGGACCTCTGAAGAGAAATGATAACTTCTGCATCTCAAGTGGTATATTTATTACCACCTCAATTATAAGCCGGTAATCTTCCACGTGGCATATCACAACCTGTTGTGGTATGGAAAAGAACACTGCCCGGCAACCTAAAAGATAACCAAAGCAGAAAAATCCCCTGTGAAAAATGGGTGATGCTTTACATTTTCATTCAGCTATAAACTCACAGCAATAGAAGGCTTTTCGATATGCCTTGCTATAAAGAAGCATGATGTGGTTGTGGATCTTAAAAATAGCCACTATGTTTTGTTACATGCAAACAGCAGGGAACACCGGCAGTTAATGGGAAACACAACTGCCAACGAGCAAGGCAACACAGCAAGTAACAGCCAGCAGACTAATCTATTAAACAATATAAAGAAAAACAATCCGTCATCTTTTTAAATCTTTCCATCAAACATTGCAGCATATTGTAAGGGTTTAAAACATGAAGGCCTGGAGGAAGTTGAATAGATTTTGATTTGAACTACCGAGAAATAAAATCTGTAAAGTAATAGCAAATCATGATTTCCAAATAAGAATACCGTACAGTCTAAAAATATTAGTCAAGTGACTAGTGATAGTCGGGTATTCATGTCACACAACTCCTAAGGAATTTGGGGCCTATGACATTTTAGGCACCAATCTAATGATCAGGATGGCTCAAAAATAGCTTCTCTAAATCTCATTTCTATTTTTCTCTCACTCTAGACCTCTGTGTATTTAGGTCTGCATGCTCAAATTATATATCATCTCCTGTGTAGAACCATACCAATATGGTTTTCTGACATAAAGGACTTCTTACAGAGGGCAGGTCAGTGGTCATCAGAAATACCACCATCCCCACCTGATCTCTTGTGGGGCTGGGAGTCAGTGTCTGGGTCAAGAAACAAACATTTCCTGACATCAGGAAAGGCCATTTGTTGATATTTAGTGTTACTGTGTTGGGTGGAGTGTTCTGTTTGCAGGAGAGGGGGCGTGGCAAATAGAACGCAAGCCCACAGAGGGAAGAGCTTGGTACGAATGGTTGGCAGACTGCTCAGTCTCTGTGGGACTGAGGTTGTCAATGCCCACTTCTGCTTCTCCACTTTTCTATCATAATAAGCAGTGGTCCTCACCTGCCGAGCCTCTCAGGTGGTGCGTGTACTGAACAGAATTGCAGCCTGGCAAAGCCCCAAGGGCAGCGTGGGAAGACCTTACTCTTTAGAAGCTTAGTGTGCTTCATACAGAGCTTCATGTTCACGGTCAACTTGCAAACATATTAAAAGATGATGGAGCTGGAAAGAAGTCCCGGACATCATGAAAGATGATCAAATTACAGAAAAAGGAAACATCTTTCCTGTTTCCTAGAGGAAGCTGAGAGTGAGGTGTTACTTCCGTGAACTCCTTTCTGGTACCTTGTCCACACTTTCCCCCTTCTACTTAGTACACTGTCCCCAGCTCTGTTCTGAGCGTTGGAGAAGAGACTGCATCACATGCACGTCTCTGTCCTGAACAAATACCGTAGTGCCTGGCGCATACCCAAGACTCCCAAAACGTCTATGAGTGCTATTCCTTGGCCATCTCTTCCATTATGTGGCAGGTTGTGCCTTCTATTTTCTTTCTTTCTTTTTTTAATAAGAGAGAGTTTTATATAAAGGGTAAGTGCACATCAAGAAAACATCCCAACCCAGTGCTGCCCATGCCTTCTATTTTCTAATTAGCCTAGTTCTTTAATTAACTTTTAAAATCTTTCATGGAAAGAGAGGGAACAAATCCCGTACCAATTTCCTGTATATTGAATCTTTACAAACTTAAAAATATTGTGTTTTTGTAAATAAAAAGTGGAACTTTAAAGCTTTCATGCAACTCCCCAGGTATTCCTGGCCCTCCATCATATTTCTGCCTGTGGCATTTACCCATTATTTGCTTCTAAAACAGCAAGGTTATTCTATTTTCTTAGATTGGTTATCATTCCTTCCCCGGACTCCACCCTAGACTCTAAATGAGCTCCACGAGGGTAAGAATTTTGATCTGTTTTATTCACCGATTGCGTGCCTGTGCCTGGAAGAGAAGGCTCTCAGGAAATAGGTTTGACGAGCAGTCAAACACACCTTGCAAGACCAATAAGACTACTTACCACTGCTGCTAATACAGAACGAAGAGAAGTGAGATGCTCAACGCACACAATAAACCTTCCTATCACAGAGACTACGGAAGAAGGGCTTCCACGATTCTTTCCTAATCTCTCTGTTATCGGAAGAAAAACATATCCCACCAAGCTCTGATTGTAAATGAAACTTAAATAAAGGTCTCGAGTCAGATGTTACAACTCATCCCACACAGAAGTCAGAGCTAAGCTCTACAGTTGTGTGGGTCATGGTACCGCTTTAATTCTGCTGTGGATAAATGCTTGCTCCTGTGCAGAGTGAACTGTGAGCAGGTCACCGCGTAGCCAGCCACAGACGAACTCAAAGGAGGCCCATTCTGAGGCGTAGGGATGGAAAAGGTACTCGGTGTCCTGATGAAAGAGCCAGGGTTCGTCTGCAAGGAGAGAAAGCAGTGTGAGCGATGCAAAAACCACTGAGAAAGACAGGGCCTGGAGAGAACGATGCTGATACTGGCCTTGTATTTGTAATTGGATCACTTGACATGAAAAAAATGTAGATATGTGTTTCGGTATGTGCACACACACATTTTTAAAATGCTGAGCGATACAATTGTAAATGTGGGCTCAGTATCCACACAGACATATACTATAGATATATATATACATACACCCACATAGGAGGGGGATTGAAAACATCATGATCTTTTAATTCCAGTGTTTTGAAGCCCCCTCATATAAGCCCACTGTTGCTGATTGTATCCTGATTCAAAGCAATCCTCTAGGACTGAATAGAATTGCTCCACAGGGTTTCCAAGGATGTAAATCTTTATGGAAACAGGCTACTACAGAATGGATGGTGGATTTGAACTGTCAACCTTTTGGTTAGCTGGCAAGTGCTATAACCAATGTACTACCATGGATACACACACACATGCTTCTGAAAGTTTGATGAAAAGTGCAATGAAAAGAGAATGGAATTTTCCCCAGGAACTTTTTGAGTTTTCCCCTTGGTTTTTTTTTTTTGGTTTTTTGCTTCCCCTGGGTTAGTTCCCTTGGTCTGTCGCATACATAAAAGCTCCTCTGGTGTTCAAAGGTCAAGAGTAGATCCATACTTCACAAACATGCTTCATGATAATGGAGTTAAGCTTTCCTTAATCATATTTAATTTCATTAATTGACTTATGTATTATTAATTTGAATCAATTAGCTCTGGAGTCACATAAGACAGGCTCAGCTGGAGGACTTTAACAATACAGTAATGTTATGTAAATAATACATACGGACATGTAGGAGTGGCCCCGGATTCTTTCTTACCGTGCCTGTACCACTGTGGAACCTTGGGTTTCACATCTGCAAAGAGAGAGCAAGCCCCTGGCCTGAGACACGATCTCTGATGGAATAACACAACCTTTTGTACTTTACTTTTTAAGAAGTTCTAAAAATAGAAACTTGGTGATGCTTGGACTACCTGGGTAATTTTGATACTTTAGGAGGCTTCAAGAGAAGGAAGGAAATGAATACTTTTTTGAGGGCCTACTATGTGTCAGACACGGTGCTAGGCATTTGAATCTACTCATTATTTTTAGAAGTCATTCTGTTTGCTTTTAAGATCAAGTGGGCATTTCTTTCCGACTGTACTTTCAGAATGAGATATTCTGCGAAATCGACAGAACACCCGCGTTCCCTGGTAAATACTTGAGCATACCTCATTGGCGTTTCTTTAGTTCATTTCCCTAGATACATTCTGTTCTAAAAGAGTCAGTGGACGAAGCGGTGGGCGGGAGAGAGGACTTGATGCGGAGAGACAGTGAGCTTCCATTCAGGATGATGAAAACATTGGGAGCAGATCAGGATGACGGATGAACAACATGGTGCACGTGATTATTGGGACTAGAGTGTCTATGCGGAGAACACTGAAGTGGCAGGTGCTTTGTTACATATACTTGTCTGTTTATCACCCCCTCCCCACCCCCATATGTGGATGGGGCTCCTCTGGGTCAGGGTACATAAGCTGTAGACCTCTGCAAATCTTTGCTGCAGACAGCTCCGCAGAGCATTAGAAAGCGTGCACGTGGGGAAGACCTCTCACCTCTTGGAATTTTGCATATCCATTCCCGTTTGGAAGCACAGTGCAAGGGCAGCAGCGTTTTGTTTGCCTTGTACACAGCGCAGTTTCTTGCATCTTCTCCAAAATAAGTATTGTCTAAAAATGAAGAAACAACCTGCAGCAGATGAAGTTCATTACTCCTTAAGGATGGATCCCCACAGAGAGTTTCAAAAGATCAAGAAAGTTTCGTTTTATAGAACTCATCAGTAGAGGACCGCTGACCATGCAACACCCACCACATTTCTACAGTTCCGGGGAGGGGACATCAGAATGCGTACGTACGATTCTATTTCAAAGTTCTTCCACTTTTATGAAGGGCATGCTAATCCACCTTTGATGTTCTTTTTTCTTAAAAATAGACCCTCTGCTCAATTCTGTTGAAGGAGTAGGTTAAATGAACATCATTTCAATCTTGTGCTATTTTCTAAGTGGCAGGATTAGTCTAGACCTGGGTGCTGGAAAAATTTCTCCGAGGCTCAGCGATGCGTCAGACCTGGCAGGAGCCAACTGGGAAGCAGAGTCTTTGCATGAGCATTGGCTTTTCAGTCTCTAATGTAAAAGCCCGCTCTACAGCTAGCTTTAGGATGGAAAGCAACACTGGACATCAGTGATCACATAGCAACTGACTGGCTGTCAACCACTAACATGAGGGTAAACATTTGTAAAACAGAGGACATTTCAAAACTACTTATGCTTCTCAGGCATGGATACGATCAGTTAACAGTGCACCTAAGTGAAACAGAGATGACCTCTGATTCAGAGAACGCCGTGAGTGCCCATGCATTTTGTTTCCCTGGAGGTGGCGAGGAATTCTGTTCGTGGTTTGATTTTCATGATCACGAACCCATGTGCCTACTAGTCTCCTATTAGCACGTCTAACTAACACCAACAGAGGTGTTATCAACTTCTCTTGCCACATGTCATTTCCCAAGTGTCATACAGATGTAACCTCAACTGTGCCATGTCCTGGCAGGCCAACCTGCTGTGCTGCTTCTGTACTCTGGGCCTCAGTTTCCCTATTAGTAACAGAGGCAGCTGGGCCTGGGTGAGCTCTAAGATATCTTACCACCCTGAGATTTCTGAGACCCTTTACAAAGAAGCAGGAATGGGCTTGAATACCTAAGCCAACACAAACAAAACAAAACAAAACACCCTCTTTTAAGTTCTCACTCACTGCCAGGGAGTCGATCCTGACTTATGGTGACCCTATAGATTTTAAGATTAACATGCCATTATCATTGTTTTCACTTCCCTTATAGGCAGGAGAGCCTTCCTCCTTCCACCCCACCCCAACCCCCCAAAAATCACCCTTCTTAACCACAAATGTGAGCATGCAGCTGGTCTAAAGATCGCTTCTCTTGACTGCTCTTCATCTATTTCACACCTTGGCTGGGGCTGCTATTTTGCCCACCGGGAGACGTAACACCATTGTGGTCTTAGAATCAGGCAAATGCCGTCTCTCCCGCATGCTATTTTCGGCAAGCCATTTATAATCCTCTTATACCCCACTGGACGGGGGCACCCTCCTGAAGATGAGCGGGCACGATGCAGAGGAGCTGGTGGGCCGCACTGGGGACCCAGAGGGCTCAGCACCTGACAGCTGTCACGTCTCCCTGCTTCCCAGCTGAAACAGCAGGGCTTGATTTCGCCTGTGCTGTCGGACAGACACTTTGTTTTCCCGGTAATCTTGAGGAAACCCATGAGAAGGCCTCATGGCAAATTAAAAAAAAAAGTTCTCTCTCCCCTTCGCAGAGAGGTTTGGTAAGTATGAGGCCCGATGAAAAGCCAGCCTTTTTTCCTCCCGGACTTTCTGTGGCTGAAAAGGAGCCTGTGTTTCTAAGGGCGACACCCAGGTTTCCTTTGAGGCTAGACAAACAAAGGAAGCCACGAGGGATGAGTTTAAAGACTCGTCCCTGCTCTGCCTGGTTTGGGGGCTTTACAGTGATTTGGATTTGTTTTGGGGTCAAGATTCTATCACTCACCTCAGAACTGTCTGGTGGGTAAAGGCTTCCCAAGACCTTGCTGAATTAACTCCTGGTTTCAACAAGGCCCTGAGGATCTACCATGTTTCCCCGAAAGTAAGACATCCCCGAAAATAAGACCTACTTACAGTTTTGCCTCTTGCTGAAATCTGACACCCCCTGAAAATAAGGCCCCCTTGGTTTGTGATGATAATTACTACCGTACCATATACAGGTAATAAATTTCCTTTTTTTTTGGTCAACAATAAATGTGTACCATATTCTTTTTCATGGAAAAATAAGATAGCCCCTGAAAATAAGACCTAGTGCATCTTTGGGAGCAAAAATTATTATAAGACACTGTCTTATTTTTGGGGTAACCGGGTACTTCTAACCAAAGCGGTCCTTGAAAACCTCTCTGGGGCCCAGTTCTCCCCCAACCCACAGGGGCCGCCAGTAGCCGGAGTCGACTCCGTGGCTGTGGGTTTTATGGGTGCTCCTCCACAGCACTCCACTGGGGTGGGGGGGCATCTCCAAGTGGCTTCAGGGCCAGCTCTTTGGAGCTCATCTCTTAGTCTCTCGTTAGGAAGGACTCACAGGAGTTCCGTCAGACCACTCCCAAGAGCCAGCATTCAGGGTGTTTCTTTTATTCAATCCAATCCAGAACTGTCTTTCTTCTGTCCTGCGGAGGAAAGAAACAAAGCTCTGTTTCCCCCACTGACTCCACAACACTGCAAAAGACTCAAGAACCCTCGAAAAGGTCGAAGTACAGAGGGAACAGTGGATGGTACTGGGGTGAGTGACCGAGTTGACATCTGTTCCACATTTCCTGTGTGCAACACCTGGTGATAGGAAATAAACCGGTGCGTGATTTGGGCCTCACAGGCTATTTCTCTGGGTTTGCGTCATGTGCTTATGGGAAAACCAGCCCATAGCGGAAACCAATTGGCCTCTCACTAGGAGTGACAGTCCCTGTTTAATCGGGGCAAGAAAACGCGAGAGCAAGCTGCTATGACATTTTGGAACACTTCTTTCTTAGAAAAAAAAAGACCTACTTGCTATAGCTTTAATTCCATGCTATTTTGTTAAATGTTCAGGCCTGCTCCAGGAGTGAATTGCCGCCACCCACGCTTCCTAAAAGTTAAACAGTAAAAATCCCTAACAAAGTAAAATTCCTCAGTGAATCAGCCGGGAGCCATGAGAGATTAATGCCAGCAGGGACTGCTGCTTTAGACGTGGCAAGAAGCTGTGGGGAGAATCACCGGCCCTTCTATCAGTCAGAATTCAAATATGTCAAGCTACACAGTACGCAATAAGTCACGCAACAAAGCCTCGCCGTACGATGAACCATCTCACTGAGACAGTTTTCTGAGAACACTTTTGAAGAATTTGAGATTTAAAAGCTTCCGGTGGAAGCTTTAGCCCGGTGGAGCAAGCCCATTCTGACGTACCGCTGTCAGAGATTGGAGGTGCTCTGCCTGAAAGGTCAAACTTAAAGTAACCCATGCCACGAAACCAGAGATCTCACTGGTGTACGGGCATCCCTGCGGGGACAGCACCTCACACCTCACAAGGTTGCAGCAAGACACATTAATAGTATCAATGGTACAGGTTGGAAACCCAAGTCATTCTGAATCTGTTGCCAAAATTTCTCTATTCCTTCCCTCGCTGATTTCAAGGTCTGCCTTTATTTTTTTTCCCCTTTTCTGCATACCCGGATGAATTGGCTTTTTTCCCCTTCCCTCACCAATCACCTAAATTAAGTGTGAGGAACCTGGTGGTGAGGGATTACGCATTGGGCTGCGAACTGCATGGTCAGTAGTTCGAAACCACTAGCTGTTCTGGGGGAGCAGGAAGGGGGCTCTCTACTCCCAGAGAGAGTCACAGTTTTGGAAACCCACAGCGGCAGATCCACCCTGTCCTGAGACTCACGATGAGTCAGCAACGGCTTGAGGGCAATGAGATATAAAGTTTTAAGGAACTCACGCACACAGGTATGTTTGCGTGTGTACATACCTAGATCTAGACATCATATTTCTGAAGGGCTCTTCAAACATTTGTGGAAAGATGGAATTCAGAAAGAATAGAATTTTCCATGGAAGTTGATGCTCTTCATAGATACACTAAGAACAAGCAACCACACAGACCCCTGCTATTGGTTTGATGCCAACCGAGACTGGTCTGGAGGTCAGAGCTGAACTGTTCCAACAGGCTTCGAAGGCTTTGCGGAGTGGCTGATAAGTTCACACCGTGAATCGTTCAGAGTGTAACCCAGCACTGAACTACTTCCCCATCAGGGTTTCTTCCTCATATATACGTGGGCCTGTCAAAAAAGCCCACGACTAGGGTTCCAGCTCATACCAGCTAGGCATCAATAGATGTTTAACCCACGTATGGGGTGTCCTACAATGAAACTTAGGGGGCAGGCTTGGATTTTCCTCCAGAAATAGTTTTGCCCCCAGGTTTAAGCAAGTGGCTAAATCAAGACTCCAGATTCCCATAATTTGGAGATGAATACATGATGATATTTCAATTGCTTTTATTTTTTAAAAAAAGTGTGGCATTATAGAGGCAGGCCTTTCTTAGATTACCACTTCCCTGGGAGCAGAATTTGGCCTGTTAAGTCTTTTGAAATCTCTGTCTACTTGTGTCCTTTCCAGAGAGGATATTCCTAATATGTCTGCTGGTAAAAAGACTAATTCTAGAGTAAGAGGCCAAGGGGAAGGGATTCACTAGGTAGAGACATGATAGATGGTTGTCTTTGAGCGTACGATAATCGAGTACACTTGACCTGCCTCGCTCTGGCTCCAAAGTGAGAGAAGCAGACTTCTGGCTTAATAGATAGTCAATCCTCCCAACAATGGAATGAGCCTTCTCCCAAGACAGGAGGGCTCTGGATGCTGAAGCAATAATGTGGCCAATAGATGACCCCGGGAATGTGGTGACACGAATTCCTCCCGGCACTGGGTGGGAGGCTGCGCAAGACCTTTTTGTTTCCGTCCAGTTTAAATTGATTTGCTTTTGAAACTCCATGGCATGAAAGATTCTGTAAGCTTGCAAGACAGAGAAGAGAACTCCTATCCCCTCAAGGATAAAACTCAGGGCTTGGGTTGGATTTCTTAAAATTTAATCTGTAGGACTTTTTGTCGAGCAAAATCTGCCCCAGAAGCCTATTATCTGGAGATTAACTAGAAGGTGACCCGGCCGCCGGCTCTGGGCCCAGTGGACCCCTCCTGCTCTTGAGATTCAAGGAAACCTCAGTCGACAGGCTGGCAACCACTGTGCTGGATAATTGCTAAGGTTGGCAGAGAACTTCGGCAAATATGCTTTAAGGCACACTGAAAAGATCTGAAATATCAAAAACAATTGCCACTGTGTTCTTTGTTATTTAAAAAAATGAGAACCTATAACTATATAACTATCTGTATATTTTTTTCCCTTTCAGAATTAGTGGCTAGTCGGTTTTCAGCTGCAAACAAATACTTAGGATTTTCAACCAGTATTTGGCATCCCCATTCCTAGGAAGTCCTAGCCAAGAGACGACCACGTTGACTACTTTCAACGGTCTTTCAATAGTAAGAAGTTTACCTATTAAACTTTGAATGTAAGAGCTCGTTCACAAAATTCTCTTCCTCGATGTGGCCAAAGCTTGCAAGGTGAGCTCCAAATTCTTCACAAAATGTTTCTGCTTCTCTCCACGTTCTTTTCATCAGGACCTTTTCACTATGAAATACCTGCAGAGAAATGGAAAAGACTTCACACTGCCACAGGAGAACCGGCAGACACCACCGGTTCACCTGAACCGCAATCCTCCCTTCTGCTTCTCAGCTGTCCTCCCTGGAGCGTGAAGTCAGTTGAAGACAGTGCCTGTTTGGGGCTTTATGAAAAACAGGGTTGAGGGCCTGAAGACCCTCAGCATACTCATTTTTAACTGCTGGACAGCAAGCCTGAGCCTCAGATGCCACACAGGTATTCTGTGGCCAGGCTTCCTGGGCTTTGATTGGCTGAGAGCAGACGAATAGCTTCCTGAACCCTGTGGACCACAGCAGAGCCTTCCGTCTTCTAAATTATGTGTCAGAACTCATAAATCCCACTACCCATGCCCATCAAACAATTCCTTTGTTGACGTGTACGGCTGATGTAGGAGGGAAAGCCCTGGAGTGGGTCTCCCAAGACCAGCGATTTATGTCAAGTCTGTCCCACAGACATGATCTTCAGTAACCCACCTCAGTTTCACAGGCCTCAGTTTACCCATGCTGCAGGCTTAAGTTATTGCCCGGGGAGGCCACTGCTGGGGTCATTTTTCTGTGGACTTGGTGTTGGATTCGCCTGGGCACACTTAGATTGCTTTGCGTGTCTGCCATGCACTTCCTGAGGTGGCCCTCGGTCAGGCAGCCCCTGCAACACCGGGAGATGGGGAAAAGTGCCCCCCACCCCACCCAGCAAAGGAATTTCTCCCAGGCGTTGGGGAATCTCTAGTTGCAAAAGGGACCAAGACAAAACCTCCAAACAGGAAGTGATTATATTTCCAGAACAATGGACTCTGGCAAGATTATAGGAATTGATTTACAACTAGGATTCTGAAGATAATTTGCAAATAAACACTTCTTCGTGGAAGATTCAGATGTGTGTGTACATACACACAGAGGGAGAGGTGGGGACGTGGGGGGGGGGCGGGGGGGGGGGGGGGGGGGCGGGAGAGAGAGCGAGCCAGCTGACTTACTTGAGGCCATCAAGTGGATTGCAACTCACAGTGACCCCTGGAGACAGCAGAGGACTGAGCCACAGGGTTTTCTAATCTAGAATCTTGCTGAAAGCCAGATCTTTCCCTGAGCTGCTGAGTGCATTTGAAGAACTGACAACCTTCTGGTTAGCGGCTGAGTTCTAACCATTGCACCACTAGTCCTCCGTGTGTGTGTGTGTGTGTGTGTGTGTGTAAATAAACTGTCCATGGATTTGTTTGACCTTCAAATGGTAGACAAGACTGCAAATCTGCCTTTAGCCACAGAATGGCATTGCTCTATAACACGGACCTTCTGGACTGGTTTACAAACCATATGGAACGACACCGTTTTAGCACCCAGTGCATGCCCACCTCGTGCATTTTGGTGTATGTTTGGCAATGAGGGCAGGTTGACTTGGCCTAGCAATCAGTTCTTGTGAGCAGGCCTTCAATAACATGGGGGATAGGTCACTTTTTGGAGTAAAAATTAGTTGTGAGAATACCTGAACGAAGAGTGACAACTAACAAATGTGGATTAAACACCTGCTGTGGGCCAAGCACTGTTCTCTGTGCTGGAATAAAGGGGGTTGGGACACCCGGATCCCATTTAAAGGACGCCGGTTCTGCTGAGAATGCCCATACAATCTTGGCATCATCACCTTGAAGCAACTGGCCAGCCCAGGCTCGGACTCCCAGCCCAGATAGCAGGGGTGGAAGGGCCAACTCTCCTCATGCTCATTTTTGTCCCGAGATTCAACTGGCTGCTTGCAGAGGGACATTGCCTTGAAGTGTTTGCAGTCCTTTACTTCCCAGCGACCAGGGGGGCTCCGGCCTCGCATGACAACACAGCCGCCACTGTAGCCTAGAAGCGAAAAGAAGCACTTTCAGTACCAGGTGACGCAACTGTTTCACGCCCGGAAGGCAACGCTTCAGAGTGCTGAATAACTGAAACATAAGGAAGCCCCCAGATAAGACCATAAAGATGAAACACATGCTTTATTTGGAAACATCTGACTGCTATGACCTGATTTTATCCAACCTGAAATGTGGGCACTGTCTGCCTGTCAAATCAAAACCCTGCCTACTCCCTGCCAACCAGTCTATTCTAACTCACAGCCCACCTGCGGAACCCAGTAGAACCAACCCTTTGGGTTCCCAAGGCTCTCCATCTTTACGTGAGCTGGCGCCCTCATCTTCCGAATGATCTTGCAGATAGCAGCTCAATGTGTATCCCACTACGCCATGGGAGCTCCTGCTCTGAGCTCAGTTAACATTCACAGGCGACTAGAAATTGTTCCTACTTGGAACAGAAATATACTCTATATCTCATCAAATGCCAGCATTCTTCTACTCCGAGTCATTGCACTTTTTAAGTTTTAAGAACTGGACTCACTGTTTACTGAGCACCTATCCTGTATGCCAGGGAGCTTGGAGGCCTAGTGGGTCATATAATCCATCAGTCTTTCCCAGGGAGAAAGATGAGGCTGTCTGCTCATGTACAGATTTAGAGCCTGGGAAACCCAGAAGGGCATTCTACTCTGTTCCGTGAGGACACTATGGGTCAGAATTGACTTAAGACAGTGGGTTTGGTTGGGTTCGGTTTCACTGTGTATGCTGGGCTTTGAAACCCATTGTGGGAAGCAATAATGAAGATAGCAGAGAGGCTGCTCTGAGAACCAAATTCAACGGGGGAATCACTGACATAAATAATGGAGTCTGCAGGGAACACATCAGAAAATCAAGATGTAAACTCTTCTAATGGCTGTGATCATGCAGGGATAAAGATCAGGGGCAGAAATCAGAGGAAAGAGAGAGAATGAATGAAAGAGGCCTTTACAGAGAAGAGTAGAAGTGTAGAGATGTTTCTCCTCACATTCACAGTTAGTGTGAAAGACTGTGAAAAGCGATAGACTATCTAGTGGGGGAGAATCCACTTTATTATTTCATGTTATTTTATATTTGAACAACATTTTGGAACAGAAGACATGTTTTCCCACTGAAACAATTCCAAGTTGAACTTAGATCTTAAAGATTGCCGGCAAAATCTATAAAACTCATAAAACATTTTAAAAAGACACAATTTCAATGAAGAAAAGTGGAAAACAACAAAAACGAAACAAAAACTCATTGCCGCCAAGTCGATGCCTACTCATAACGACCCTATAGGACAGGGCAGAACTGTCCCAGTGGGTTTCCAAGAAGTAGAGAACCGGAGTAGAAAGCCCTATCTTTCTCCCTTGGAGCTGTTGGTAGTTTTGAACTGTTGTCCTTGCGGTTAGCAGCCCAACACATAACCTCTATGCCACTAGGGTGACAAACCTGAATAAAGAATGAGTTGCTTTTTTCTTGGCTTTAGCATGGCCACTCCATAAATGAAACCATCAATATTTAGCAACCACAAAACTGCATCTACACCGTGCCAGGTTAGGCTGTAAGTTAACCGCGAGAGGTAGAAGGACAAACGAATGCTCACAAATCAGACGAAAAACAGCTCCCGCTTTAGGGAGTCACAGACAATGCTTGGCAATAAGCAGACGAATCCTGCTGATGGAGTGGGTCAGCGTTGGCCTGAGGTCTGCATGGTTGGCGGCTTGAAATCCCCAGCAGCTCTAGGAAGAAGACTGGGCTCTGTCCACAGAGTGGCGTTCTGTAAACAGTTACAGGCGCAGAAACCCACAGGGGCCTCTCAGCATCAGCACTGACTCGATGGCAGTGAGTTGGTTTGGGGTTCCAGGGCTTCGGTGCAGGTGTAGTCAATGTTGCGTGGGGAGGATTCAGCAGGGGTGATGACGTCTGCCTGGGGATGGCTGAAAGATTGGCAGGAGGTGATGTTTGAGGTAAGTTTCGAAGACTGCAGAGGAGAAAGGTGTTTGTAAAAAGCAAATGCTTCATACTTTGCCTGTTTTAAGCTCATAGACATTTGTGGAGAGAGGAAACAAAGAGTGGGAGCAAGAACCAAGAATGCAGAAGAAGACATAAAAGAGCTTCCTCCGAAGGAACAGAGAAAAGTTCAAAGAAAGAGGAGAGAGACGATTGGAACCGAAGAATGAATGTTTGTATTTTCATTAGAAAAGGTGAAATTATGTAGCATGCGTTCTGCCTGTCTGATCAAAGAATTTTTTTAAATGTTCCAATCAGCAATTTAAAAATTTAGTATACTTTTTTTGTTGGTCTTGCATTTTGTCTCACTTTCTTACGACAGACAGTGATTAAATAGCTTTGGTTTGAGACACTGTAGATATTCAACTCATCTTCATTAGTGAACAAAGAGACACTTATAAACTGCTATGAGGATGAAAAGTGCTGTGAGCATTAATGGAGTTCTACAGTGGTTATCTTAATGGGATATTCGACCCACATTTCAGAGGCCCGGCCCCAAAAAGCAGGGAAGTGGTGCAATAAAAGGAGGCTGGTCTCCGGGCGACAGAAATGGAATTGATAATCCTCCTACATCATGGGTATCCGTGCGAAACCAAATAATAAGGGTAGGGGTGTGGGAAAAGAGTAAAGCCTTTTTCTCAGCTCCCAGAAAAAATTATTCTCCCATTTGGTAACTACTTTCCCAGTGGAGAAGAACCATTATCCTTTGTATCTGACTGGTGATTCTCACATTCAGACGGAGTTTTCTAACCAATGGGGAAACTTTCAGTCACCGAACACATTTTAATTCACTATTCTCTCTCTTCTTTTCAAACATGCAAACAGGATGCACTGGTAATCACCAGTGATTGGAATGCAGAAACAGGAAACAAAGAAGAAGGATCAATCGCTGGAAAAGATGGCCTTGGTAACAGAAACAAACCAGTAGATTGAATGACCAATGTTTAGTCAGTGCAAATACCCTTTTTAAACAATGTAACTGGTAACTCTAGACAAGGACTTTACTGAATGAAATTCCTAGGGGAAAATCTGACTGACTATGCTGGTGAAAGAGTTGCTGGACAAGCTCAATATCATTAATTAGTCACAGGAAGGCCAGTGGCTGAATGCAGACCAGACCAGCAATTGCTCCTATGCAAGTTTAAGTTAAAACTGAAGATGTTAAAATAGGTCAAACGAGAATGAAATGGGACCTTCAGAATATCCTATCTGAATTCAGAGACCATTTCAAGAACAGATTTGATGAGCTGTGAATGACACCAAGGATCTCATCATGTACATGAAAAAGCAAAATTTCATTAAAAAGACAAGAAAGAAAGAAAGGACCAAAATAGATGCCAAAAGAGACTCTGAAACTTGCAATGGAACATAGACTAGTTAAAGCCAACAGGAGACATGATGAAGTGAAAGAGCTCAACATAACACAGTTCAAAAGGTGACGAGAGAGAGAGAAGACAAAAGTGTTACAAAGACATATGCAAAGGCATGGAGTCAAGACACCGAAAGGGAAGAACATACTCAGCATTTCTCAAGCTGAAAGAGCTGAAGGAATAGTTCAGCTCTCGATTTACAAAATTCAAAGATTCTAGGGGAAACGTGAACAAACAAGATAGAAGCATCAAAAGAATAGAGGGAATACACAGAGCGAATGCATCAAAAAGACCTGGTGAACACTCAGTCATTTCAAGGGACTGTATGTGATTACGGACCAATGGTACTGGGCGAAGCCAAGCTGCACTTGAAGACTGGTGAAAAAGAAGGGCCTACACTGGACAGGGTACCGACCGAGATGTTTCAAGCAATGGATGCAATGCTCACTCGTTGATGCCAAGAACTTTAGAAGACAGGTCCATGGCCTATCGACTGGAAGGGATGGATATCTATCTGTGTTTATTCCAAAGAAATGTGACCCAAGGGAATGCAGAAATTATCCAATAATATCACTAAGATCACACACAAGGAACATTTTGCTGAAAGCAATTCAACATTGGTTGCTGCGGTACATGGACAAAGAATTGCCAGGAATTCAAGCTGGATTCAGAAGAGGATGTGAAACAAATAATGTCACTTCTGATATCAGACGACTCTTGGCTGAAAGTAGAGAATGCTAGAAGGGCATTTACCTGACTATGCAAAGGCATTTGACAATGTGGATCATCACAAATTATGGATAGTTTTGTGAGGAATGGGAATTCATCAGGAACACTTAATTGTGCTCATGGGTATCGTACATAGACCAAGAAACAGTCATTTGAAAGCTGAACAAGGGGATATTGTCTGGTTTAAAATATAAAGATGTATGTCGGGGCTGTAACATTTTATTATATTTATTCAATCTCTATGCTGAGCCAATAATGTGAGAAACTGGACTAATAATGTGAGAAGCACACAGCATCAGGATTGAAGGAAGGCTTATTAACAAAATATACAGATGGCACAGCTTTGCTTGCTAGAAATCAAGCAGCACTTGAAGCATTTCCTGGTGAAAAGCCCGCAAGCCTTCCAGTGGATTGTCATTCAGCGTAAAGCAAACTAAAGCCCTCACAGTGGGAAAATAGACAAGATAAACAGAGAAGAAACTGAAGTTGTCAAGAAGTTCACTTCATCTGACTCATAATCAACACTCATGGAAGAAGCAGTCAAGAAAATCAAGGGATGCCTTACGGTGGGAAGATCTGCCGCACAAGACCTCTTGGAAGTATAAAAGAGCACAGATCTTTCTTTGAAGACTAAGATGCACCTGACCCAAGCCATGGTATTTTCATTTGCTTCATATACAATGAAGCATTGTATGTGAAAATAGGGCAGCAAATAAGGAAGACTTCAGAAAAATCGATACATTTGAATTTTATAATGTTGACGAAGACTACTGAAAGTACCTCGTCTATCTTCCTTGAAGGAAGAACAGGATGCCTAGAAGCAAGGATGCATAACTACTGTGCTATTCCTATAAAAACTGTCCCATAGGACACCCCAAACACT